TCCTATTCTGAAGGGGATTTCAATGATGATATTTGCGACAGCGATATTCAACAATATAATAATGAATGGGAAGTGCGCAACTGTCGATTATCGGGTCTGGTTGATCTGAAACTCAGTAAAACGTATGTGCGTGATAAGATCGTGGAATTCCTAAATGATCTGATTTCTCTTGGAGTCGCTGGTTTCCATGTAGATGCATGTAAACACATGTATCCAGAGGATTTAGAAGTCATTTATGGGCAATTGAACGACCTCGTCACACCAACATTCCCTTCTGGCAGTCGTCCGTTTATTGTTCAAGAGGTGATAGATTACGGCGGTGAAGCAATTTCAGCAACAGAATACGCTCACCTAGGTCGTGTGACTGAATTCAAATATGGTCGAGAGCTGTCAAATTGTTTTCGCGGTAATAATGATCTAAAATATTTATACAACTGGGGAGAAGCCTTGGGACTTTTACCAAGAGGCAATGCACTTTCTTTCATCGATAACCATGACACACAACGCAACCATGGAGGAGGAGGTAATCCACTAACATATAAGGAACCCCGTGAATACAAGATGGCAGTTTCATTCATGTTAGCTCATGATTATGGTGTACCCAGAATAATGAGTAGTTACTATTTTACTGAAGGTGAAGCTGGACCGCCTTCACATCCAGATGGATCCACAAAAGATGTGACATGTTTTGATGAATGGGTATGTGAACACCGATGGAGACAGATCACTGCTTCTTCATGGTTCCGCAAAGTTACCAATGGTACTGGTGTTGACAATTGGTGGGACAATAATAGTAACCAGATCGCCTTTTCTCGTGGTAGCCTGGGATGGTATGCTGTGAACAACGATGCATATGCCATGAACGCAACTATTTACACTGGATTACCCGCTGGTACATATTGCAACCTGTATGTCTCATCTTACGATAAAGACACCAAAGCCTGCGTCAAAATGGAAGATGTTGGTACACCGTCTACTGTTACTGTGAAAAGTAATGGCGATGCCTCGGTTTATATAAGCAATAATAGCAATCCTGTCATTGTAATACACGTTGATGCCACTGTATAATGATCTGTAACATTATGTGTTAATTGAGAGAAAATATCTCGTAATCATTTATGGACATAAATAGATTATGTACAAAATATATAGTATCATGATGGTAATAAATAAAGTCCAAACAGATCACTCGAATTATGTTTTTTATCAATCGGGAAATCAGAAGCCGATCCGTTTAGATTTTCAGAGGTCTGTAACAGAGTTGTGAGCAGCTTTTTGTTTGTGCTTGTTGTGGGAAATCATTCAGGAGATACAGTATAGTTGTAGTTATAACACACGCCATTTATTGTGAAGGTTTCAATTAGTAAATACAGTACAATGTGTTGACATATGTTGGTTGCTATGGTCAGCCTTACGGCTACGCAAGGACTTACATGTTGTTAGATATATATTGTACTTTTATTGGCCAAGAAGACCCGACGATCCATTCTATCGCAATAATTATTCAAAACGACCTCCAGTATAATAGAACGCGTCATTTTCCAAGTTATTTTTTATTTTTTACTTTTTTGGAGGGCTTCCAAATCGCGTCTTAAATCTACTTGCTCGATTTTGGGGAAAATATGCGTGAATAAATTATTTTTTTTATCAAGGAGACGTTATACGCGATTTATTCACATGGACTATAAAGAGGGATATAAATATTATTGAACAGTAGATGGCGCTCTCTCTCGCCATTCACTATTATAAATACACGGTGTTAGCACACTAACGCTGTTATTATTACATAATAAACTAAATTATTGTAACAGAAGTTACAAAGAGTATAAAAATGTAGATAATATTAAAATAATGTTGGCATTCAACCATTTTTCAAATAAAGAAAACGTTACAGACCTTCCTTTATACCAAATTATGTCTTTGAAATTAATTGTAGTGCTTCGACAGTGTGCCAGATATGAAGGAACGCAACATTGTACATTGCTGTTCACCAGAGAGTGGAGTGAAGCATAGATCAGGTCCTAAGTTTTATTTGTTTACTGTATATCCCCATTCCTTGCTGGTTCCATCATAGACCCTCTAACCCATCTGTTAGAGGGTCTATGGTTCCATTGACCCGTACTATTTACTAGTACTTATTAAAGTAAAGGAAACTTTATACATTGTGTTGTTTTGATTTATTGTATTCGTTACCGGTATATTTCCTTCCCTGTACTGCCTCAGTTGTGGTGAGGTGAAGAGAGAAGACTTATAAGATGAGCACGCTACCAGAGACGTCTATTATTAGACCTGTATTGACGATGCTCCCAGCTCCTGAATACCGAGTAGTCCCACGAAGACCCCTCCCCGTATTTTACGTCACAATAGACAGTAGTGTGAAACAAAATGCATAAAGCGAAAAAAAGTAGAAACTCATTGATCAAACGATTTTGAATCTGAGCACTCTGCAACATCATCCTCAGATTCCAACGATGATACTGAACCACCGATAGGAAAGGTTAGACACTAGCTTATGGTGTATTTCAATCTAAAGTAAAGAAAAAGAAGCCAAATCAGGTGATGCAAGAAAGTCGACTGACCAAGTGTTGTACACAATTCCATGGCCCATGAATTTACAAGTAAACTGGCTACACATAGACTGGGTTCAAACATAGATAAGTTGCCCTACAAGCAACCAACTCTCTCAGCATTGACAAGGGGCGCAATTTACATCATCTTCCACAAAGAGCCTGAACAATACAGCAGCTACGAGCCAGCCATCTTACTGACATACTGCACTTATGTGAGTTGTATAATTGAAGCAAAGTCCGCCTTTACAATGCCGAAGTCAAAAACTTAAGTCTAAATATTCATGAGAAAACTAAAAAGATGGGTGTATATTCCCCATTTCTCGTTGTTGTTATAAAAAAATAATTAAAAATAAAACATTAGAAAAAATTAAAAATAAAAAAAATGTCGAAGTACTGGAGGAAATAGAAAATGGTTTACAAGGATGGAACATTTATTTTTCACATATTAAAGCAAGGTGTCTTTTTACTAGGCAGACTAGCAGTACAAGAGATCAAACGCGTTACTGTGACAACTTCCAAAGTTCAGACATGGGAGTGATCATCAAAACCAGGCTTGTGAGACAGTGTACCATATTTGCCGCCCGTGTTCGTTCATAAAATCAAGGCCACACATTCAGCCAAGGACTACCCATACAAACCAAAGGAATGAAAACAACATACCAATATACAAAATAATAGTGGTAGTTACATTAATCAACATCCCAACTGTACCATCACCCACCAGTTCACCGATACCTCTTGGACTTGGCACATGAATTAATAGACTGAATGCAGATTTAGGTCAGTTGTTATACTAGTATGTAAAATTAAGATCGCCCAACTGACAGAGGGATCTAACTGATGGGATTATTATGGTATTTATTTTTAAATCGATATTTAAATTGATGTTTTGTTATCTCGTTTTGTAGGGTGCAGTAAATGTCTGAAAGCATTTCCAGTAGAAACCTTTGGTGAGAAAGCCGACTACAGTGACTTTGATGAAGCAAACTACCCAGTCCGCAA